GCAGGAACCTGTGGGAACTAAAGGGCTGCTGAGGGCCTGGCACCCACCCCAGGACCCAGGGGCTCAGGCCCGAGGTCCAGCGACGCGGAGATGCCCCTCCCTCAGGGCTGGTCCTCAGGGCGCCTCCTGCCGGGTCGCTGTGTTCACAGCCCCTTCTCCCGCCCTCACTGCCGCCCTCTCTCCTGGAGGCGGCTCCTCCTCTGGGCGTTTGGGGAACGTTTAGATCCGCATCTCAGCCTCATCCCTCTGTTGTTCACAACCACCCACAGCCCCGTCGCCCTGAGCATGAAAGTAAAACTCCTCCCGGGACCCGCCTTTCGTCCTCTCTGTCGCCTTTAGACACAAACCAGGCATGGGTGTCCCCACCTCCCGGCTCAGTCCCCCCACGGCCTCTCCGGGGGCCCCGCACCCGTCGCCCTCCTCCCCCCCTCATACCCCGGGGCCCCACGAGGACTCACTGTGCTGGACGCTGCGCCCTGGGCTGCGGGACCCGAGCGGCGGCGGGAACAGAGGCTGGAGGGTTCAATGGGGTGACGCTGAGTCAAACTGTGTGAGCGGAGAGGAGTCGGGGAGGCACGGACGCCCCAATCCCGCCGGTTTGTGGTCAACAAGCCTCAGACACACACTGCCCAGCGGGGCCGCTGCCTCCAACACCTCCTGCTACTCGCCAACAAGCGCTGAAGCACCTGAGTCTGTGCACCCACAGAAGAGTTCAAAATGACCGCCAGGAGGAGGAAGTCCCGCCCTAACCGGATGTGAGAGCACCAAAATGCTGCTTACCTGGCTGACTCTGGCGCAGTGTTTTCCGGGTAATGTAGTTTTTGCAATGACCCAGGGGGTGCTGGAGGACAGGACTGGAGGTCTGCTTAACTGGTTCATACTGATAGATCTCTGAGAGGAGGGGAAGGCCAGGTATGGAATAGATCCACCAAAGAATATGTATACAGGGGGAAATGAGAGACATCTGTAATACTATCAATAATAAAAATTACAGCCCTAACCGTTTTTGGCTCAGTGGATAGAGCAAAGGCTTACAGACTGAAAGGTCCCAGGTTTGTTTCAGGTCAAGGGCATGTACGTTGGTTGGGGGCACATCCCCAGTAGGGGTTGTGCAGGAGGCAACTGATCAATCGACGTTTCCAACTCTCTATCCGTTGCCTTCCTCTCTGTAAAAAATCAATAAAATATATTTAAAAAATAATAATAATTATATATATTGAAAAAATTTTAAAATACTCTAGCCCAGCTGGTGTGTCTCATTGGTTGATCATTGACCTATGAACCAGAAGGCCATGGTTCTATCCATGGTCAGGGCACATAAATGGATTGCAGGCTCATTTCCCAGGGAGAATGGAGGTACAGGATGCAGCCTACCAGTGATTCTCTCTCATCATTGATGTTTCTCTCTCTTCCTCCCTGTTCTTCCCTAAAATCAATTGAAGTATTTTTTGAATGTATGATTTAAATCAATTATACTTAAATCAAATTTTAAGAAAGGTTTAAAACTTGGGGATCCCAATAATTTTACTGTGTTATTAGGAAAGTTCAGAAGCATATTTTTTGCTACTGTATCAATGTGTTGGGAATAAAATACAATGATGTGCTACTGAAATATCATATCATGTCCATTATCAGTGCTATCATTTTGGCATTTTAAAACTGACCACGATGAGAGTATTTAACCAGGATATAGACAAATAATATAAACCTCCATATCATTTAATATATTACTGAATGCTTAAACTTAAATAAGAGTGGCTCTGAACGTTAACAATGCAGATTAAATGTATAAGCATATGGTATGAGTTGACTTCAGTTGTACATAGCATTAAAACTGAGTAAAACAATTTTCCTTCCCGGATTCAAAACCGATGATTCCATAAGGCAAAGAGGCACTTGAGTCACTGAGGAATGAGGGAAATTTAAGCATATGTCTTACATCCTCACAGTCCTCTTTCAGTTAAAATAATCAATTTATTTAAACAATTTGAAAAGGATTATCAGCAGACATTTTAACAAAGCAGATAAAGACAGTGCAAAAAAATGTATGAAAAAATGTTCACCTTAAAAAATTCTTAGGTAGATGGAATTACAACGAAAGTGAGTTACCAATATATGCATTTCCCAGGGTTACTGTTTGAAAAGGTTAACCATTGTATGTCCTGGCAGGGTAGCAGAAAAACTGGAATTTTTATATACTGTGGGTTAGAGGGAAGGCAAAGGGAATGACCATATTGGCTCACAGTTCCACATATCTTAAATGTAAAACATTAATCTATCTACACAACATTTTGATAAGTAAAACATATGTCTAAATAGAGAACTGAATGCAAATAGTCCCAGAATATCTATTTATAATACCCAAAACCAGGAAATAAGAAAAAACATAGACAGATCAATAAAGTGATTATTAACAGAACACAGTACTATTCAGAATTAAATAAATTTTTCTCATAAGCATTTGTGTTGAATCTCAAAATAACAGCATAGCATGGAGGAAACCAGAATTTGTAAAAGAGAACACATCAAATAGTGCCTATAAAATTATGAACAATATGAATGATTCTATTGTAAAAAAGAAAAAAAAAAGAAAAAAGAAAAATCCATGACTGCATGGAGGGCCAAGAAATGCAGAATGAGAGATAACAGGGTATTAGGAAAATATAGGATGAGGCAAAAAGTAGGTTTAGAGTTGTTGCTATGGAAAATAATACATTAATTAATAACAATAATACAGGAATAAACTCTGCCTCATCCAGTGTCCTCAGCTGGTTAGGTATTATTCCATTCACTGAAAGGTCTCTGGTTTGATTCCAGGTCAGCGCACATCCCCAAATGGATCCCCAGTAGGGGATGTGAAGGAGTTCAGCAGATCTATGTTTATATCTCTATTCCCCTTGCTTCACTCTCCCTCCCCCCAAAAAAGAATAAAAGTATTTTCTAAGATATTTTTAAAAGAATAATCTCTGTGTTTTTTGAACTTAAATCTGTGAGCCCATTAGTGCCCCACCCTGGGTATGAGTTACAGGTGGGTTTATTTCACATGTGATGGCTTCACAGCTTTATCTCTATGTCAGGGCTCACCAAATAGCACACATGAGAAAGGTGTACTTCGTTGCATGTCAGTTCTCATTTTCTGGGGGGAACACCCTTGCCTCAGTGGCAGCAAATGTTGGCAAGTAGTTAAGACTATTGCCTTTGGAATCAACAGGAATACTGACTGGTTATAAAAGACACATCCTGGGACTGAATACAGCATTATGCTTCCTCTAGATTTGAGGTCTTGCCTGTTGAGCAATAACCTTGAGGTGAACACCATAGAGGGACCAGGGGAATCCACAAAACCACTAGATTATTTTCTCTGCCAGTGACTTCAGCTAAAGGAAATAGCTATGGGGGTTCTCAGAATGTCGCAAATATCATACAAGCCACAGGCCCCAGGGTAATTTTGGATTTTTGTCCAGCAGAGGCACTTTTCATCTAGTTTAACTGCAGTGTCTCCCATGACTATGGAAACAGTGTTTATGTCCCAACTAGAGGCCTGTTGCAGGAAAATTCCTGCGAGCTATAGGGCTTCCTGCAGCTGGTATGAAGCAGAGAAGGGAGGAAAACCCACTGAGACAGGCTTCCCCTCCTGCTCCCAGCTGCTCAGGCTGCGTTTCCTCTCCAGCTCCCAGCCGCTGCTGCTGGGTTTGCCCTCCCACTCCCACCCGATCAGGCTGGGTTACCCCTTCCACTCCCAGCCGCTGCGGCTAGGTTTCCCCTCCCAACTCCT